GCTATGTAAAAAATAATAAACAAGGAGAAAATTGTTTCATGTTTCTGTGTCATTTACTAAAACTTGTTCATAAATGGAAAAAAATAAAAAATAAGGAGAAAAAACAAGTATTTTACAGAAAATTAAAAAACCTTCATTATTTGTTTAAAACCCTCAGATGCCAGGATTTTGCATCTAGCTTTTAAAAAATTTCGGGGGAGGACCCCCGTACCCCCCTCTTATTCAGGGCCACCAGAAATTAACCAGGTCCACCAGATCAAGAGAGCAGGTCGACCTGCGGTCCACCACCTATTAAAAGTTAGTGTCAACCCCTGGTATCCAGAATTTTGTCTCAGGGTGTCGGTCAACATTCCAGGTTTCAAACTTATTTTGCGATGCATCATTTCATAGTCTGTTTCATACACATAAATAAGCTGGTCGAGTACCCAAAATGTAACACTTCATCAAATAAGTCAGTTTATGAAATTACTGACAGCATTTAAAATTTGAGTTTGAAAAATAAATATTAAAGGGCTCAAAACAGCCAAATATATTCCGATCTTTTCTTTTCAAAGAAGAATTGCTGAAATCACAATTGTTTTGTGTTTTTCATGTCTTGTGAATTTTGGCTGTTGGCGGTCCTCGTCGGACCTGTTTGAGTGACTGCTTTTAACAAAGCGTACACACTCTACGATAGGCATATCGATGTCCGATTCAGTCAGATTTGCAGACCATCAGAAAACTACTTTGAATCGTGTATTTTATGATAAAAAAAAAAATAGAGTGAAAGATTTATCTGTAAGTAGGATTGAATCTTTTCTGAAAGTTATTGTAGTGAAAACAACATCGTTTTATTCCAATTACCTGTTCTGCCCATGCCAGGTGACAACAGATGGCTGCTGGTCAATGATTAATTATACTGAAAATGATCATATACAAATGGGGTGACTTTCATGTCATTTTGACATACGGTAAACCTTCGGTCAGTTCGAACAAAATTAAATAAATATTGATGAACCTGTTCGGATTATACAAAATTATGCTTCAGAAAATAAGCGTGAGTTCGAACTATCGGCAAAAAATTCGGCAAAGTGCAAATCAAGTCACAAACATACACCCGACATATTTTCTTCACTGGAGTATACCTCTATATATCCAATGTAAGGTCGAAACGTAACAACGACGGCCTGGCATAGAACAATGGCACATTTATAAATGGGTAAAATGATAGTATATTATTTAATTCAATGTTAATTGATCATTAAACTTTCTTCATTTCGTGATAATTATGATCGTTATTGCGAAGCAGAGGCCCTTGTGTAGGCCCCGAAACAGTACACGTTTCATTTGTGACACAAAAGTTAAGACTACCTAGCTTGTATCAGAGACCTAAATATTGAGTCTCTGCGTGGTTAGGTTTTATTTGAATCAGAAACTATTGTATATATTATTTCGTAATGAATGGTCCGTTTAATNCAAACTTATTTGACACCTTCAAAATTACCCATCGCTAATTGGGACACCTGTGGATTGTCTGGGCTTTGACATGAATGCTAATCACGTCACTCACCATGGCTGGGCGGCCGATTCCTACCGCGACATCGTGTCCTGCCCTACCTGGTGTGAGGGCACACATTTACAGGTAATACCTTGATTGGCAATAATTAAGGGATGTCTGGTCGCAATAAAATAATCATAATGCTTAGTTAACACTGTATTTGACAACACACGGGCGATTTCTTAGCGTACAGCCAGACAGCGTGACATCAGTTCGTACTGATCGCATGTTATTTATACATTGTCGGGGGCCTAAGTTGAAATTGGCTGTCTCGTGCACGATGTATTTTTCAAACAATGTAAAAAAAATGAATCAACGCTAAAATCTGTGACATATATTTATGCTTTGTCGGTCACAGCTGTACTGCAATGCCCACACATACAACCCATCCGAAGGTTTACCGTATTTCTAGTTTCACTTAAAATTAATTCTTCGTCTGTAAGGATCATTTTACTACTGTTATGAATACACATATATTGTACATATTGTAATATTAACGAATAATCGTAAATAATATGTGATATATATAATTGTAATGAAAAAGATTAAAATATATTCACATTCTGTCATTGTACGAAACCCTGTGCTAGATCATCTACATGTACATTGTAGATCTGATTTATTACAAACTACTATGTGATCACGGTTAAAGATTCATATATATATATATACATATGTAGAAAATATAAGATTAACGACCGACTAAAAAACTAGCTGCTTTCACCCTTCACAGGGCTCTTCAGGTATATTCAAAAGAAGCTAGTTTTTTAGTCGGTCGTTAATCTTATTTTTTCTATATTTACTTCCTTCACATGGACATTTAATCCCTTTTTATTATATACACATGTATATATATGTATATACATCTTATATTCCTGCAAATCATAAGAGGCGACTAAGTGTGGACCCCCTGCTGCGACTGTTAGATCCATCGCAGTATTGAGAGGCGACTGATGAGACATTCCGTAGCAAATTGGAGTTTTTTACATTTACCGGGCCAGATTTCCACATGCACATGTTCCGCGTTTTTGATATCTCTCGTTGACTCACTTTATATGATAGTGCATCTTGCGCAAGAATAGGTCCTCTACATCAGCGTTCCTTGTCCGCGATGCTCTCAGCTTAATTGCTGTCTTTAGCCGAGGGGACTATTGGTTTTATATAATAGCTATATTTTCAATTATAGTATTTGAATTATATCTTCTTGTAATATGATGTATATGTACATGTAACTGTTCTTTTTCACTGTGTCTTGAAAAATGAGCGGATCGCTCCGAAAATTTGACAACCTAAACTTGTCCACACTGTTGGAATTACTTCTTTGCCCCATATATACACATGTACATGTACAAAAGATACATATATATATATACACATGTAGTACATACAAGAGTATTTAAAGTTTTGTTAATTTATGAATTTGAGATTGATCTTTGTGTTGGTGTCATATTTCCTTGTATGAAGGCATTGCAGTTCTATAGAGGATATACATTACGTACGTACATTGTATCTCTGTATACGTATGTACAAGTTTAAATGTGACACAAGTCACTTGTTATATCTTCAGTGTATTATAAAGGTCAGCATGTTTTGATTTTGTTTAAACACACAAGGCAGATTATTGTATAATAATAATCGACTCAAATCGATATTTTTTACAAAATAACACGAACATGATTGCCTGGATTAAAACAATTCATATGTATATATGGAATGCTTTGTTTATTGTGAAAATTCTAAAATAGTTAAATTAACTCATTCACCCCTCATGAAGACACATTTGAACTGTTCCAATTCAAAGCTTGGAATAGTTCATTATGAAACTCACACAGAAAGTTCAGGGGTGAATAAGTTAACCTTAAGAGAGAGAAAAAGCTATTCTTTAATTTCTTTGGTCGTCATAAATTATGGTTTATATACAATGATATTTAGAACAACACAAGGACCAAATATAGTTAGCCATTTTTGAGATACTCTTTTTCTACGGAATCAAACAAGTTTTCAGGGTTAGACACTAACCTTTTTTTGCTTGGTAATTATATAACTAGTCCACAGGACTAGTTGAATAGATTAATTACTAGTCCTTCGTCAATGTAACTAGTCCAAGATTTCCTGATAAGGAAACATCGCAATCTACAGCACAAAACATCAAAAGTAATCGATTGTAGAGGACTTTAGATAATTACTGCCATTAAAAAATATGCTGAAGTTTTAGGAAAATTTTGACAATTATCATGTAATAAATATTATTTTAAGCAGTTTTCTAAATTTTAAAAAGAAACTCTCTTATTTCATAATTATATTTTTCACATATATTAAAGGACCAGTTAGGTTAGGTGATGCACTAGTCCCTACTGAAATCTATTAGTCCAGGACTGTCGGACTAGTGTTAATGTCGACCCCTGAGTTTTATGTATGTCACATGTTATGATAGACTTGGGGAGCATACAATATATATATATGGTAATATAAACAGCAGTAATCTGACAACAGCTAACACTTAAACACTGGTGTTCAGTTTCGGACTGCATATACCAGACATATTCAGTAGATATCTTGTGACATTTCAGCCGTTTCCACCACAATTTATGATGACGTCGGCTTACTACTGTTGTTTATAACTTTCATAACAGAAATACACATACCCCTGTATGTTTGTATGGGCAGATTGGTCGAGTGGTTAACACTCTGGCCTTCTACGCAGGCGGCCGGGGTTCGATCACCGAAGTCGTGGTATGCATGGAATATTGAGAGAAAGTGTTTTTCTCCTGCCCACACAACTCCCAACAACCCAGATGGAGTATGAATTGGTCTGGGGTGGATGTTGCGGTATCTGTGCTGTAGCATTCAAGTGAGGTGGCACTATAAAAGATAGCGTTGGAAGCACGGTCCCACTACAAACAGAACACATTACATCTCCAGGGAGGTATTAGCCAGGTGGCATATAGGACTAGTAGTTAGCGCCTGATATGGCAGCTCCTGGGAAATCCTCAAAATTGTATTGATTAATGTATATGCTGATTGTATTAATTGTATATCTATGTACTGTAAAAGTGCTTTAGAGTGGCTTATGTTAGATAGATAGGGCGCTATATATATATCAAATGCTGCATATTATTATTGTTATTATTACCATGTGGTCACCAAACTTGGGAAACTTTTATTTATCTTGGTGACCATGTGTTGAATGAAAGGCGACAACATTTATTTTCGGAGTTTCATTGTTACATTGTACCGTACCCCAGTATGTTGTTTCTCGGAGTGATCATACATTAATTGTATATTTACCTAATGCAATCAACCCTATACTTTACATGTTAGCATTGTCATGATCATGGTATGTTGACCACAAGTATGAGTTATTGTATAGACAGTAACACACTCTGTAAATACAGAGTATATTGTTGTGAGTTGCTTTCCGTAATTGTTGCCCTCCTAAAAGTGAGTGGTCTCCCCTTGACAGGTATCCCAATAGCGCAGCAGCACCTCATCTGGCAGTCCATGGAACTAGAAGATGAGTACAGTCTCCATGACTACAGTATCAACGACGGGGCCACCCTAAAACTGGTGTTGGCCATGAGGGGCGGACCCATCAATACTCGCAGGAGTAAGTACTTATCTACTACACAACCAACAACATCAACTATTGGGTGGTCCTGTGGCACAATGGTTAGCATGCTTGGGGTGGTCCGGTGGCACAATGGGCAACATGCTTGGGGTGGTCCAGTGGCGCAATGGGTAGCATGCTTGGGGTGGTCCAGTGGCGCAATGGGTAGCATGCTTGGGCTGGTCCAGTGGCGCAATGGGTAGCATGCTTGGGCTGGTCCAGTGGCACAATGGGTAGCATGCTTGGGCTGGTCCAGTGGCACAATAGGTAGCATACTTGGGGTGGTCTGGTGGCACAATGGGAAATGCACTTTAGGTGGACTGGTGGCACAATGGGAAACCTGCTTGGTGTGGTCCAGTGGCACAATGGGTAGCATGCTTGGGCTGGTCCAGTGGCACAATGGGGAACGTGCTTGGGCTGGTCCAGTGGCACAATGGGTAGCATACTTGGGCTGGTCTGGTGGCACAATGGGACACCTGCTTGGGGTGGTCCGGTGGCACAATGGGTAGCATGCTTCGGGTGGTCAGGTGGCACAATGTGAAACATGCTTGGGGTGGTCCAGTGGCACAATAGGTATCATGCTTGGGCTGGTCTTGTCGCATAATTGGTAGCGTGCTTGGGCTGGTCAGGTGGCACAATAGGAAACATGCTTGGAATGTTCTAGTGGCACAATGGGAGGCACAGTAGTCCAGTGGTAGGACGCCGGGCTTGTGACCACAGAGTTGCGGGTTCCAAGTCATGGCACAGCACTGTGTTGTATCTTTGAGCAAGATACTTTACTCCGCTTGTTCCAGTCTACTCAGCTGTAAATGAATAAGTGGTTGGGCAGTGCTAGAATTGTAGAATGCTAGCTGTGAGCGCCGAAATGGCAACACCAGCTGTATGCTCCCCAGGAAGTTGAGAAAGATATTGGCTGGATGCAAAGGCCCTATAATATAACCACAGATAATAATTTGTGAACCGCTTTGAGACAACCTCAAACTATTATTATTCTTACTATTATTATTAATGGATAGCATGCTTGGGGTGGTCCCGTGGCACAATGGGTAGCATGCTTGGGGTGATCGGGTGGCACAAAGGGTAGCGTGTTTGGGGTGGTCGGGTGGCACAATGGGTAGCGTGTTTGGGGTGATCCTGTGGCACAATTGGAAACATGCTTGGGGTGGTCCAGTGGCACAATGGGAGGCACAGTAGTCCAGTGGTGGGATTGTAAAAATGTACAATAAATCTGTTCCAGTTCCTATGGAGGATCCAACACTCAGGGAAATGGCAGAGTATGTGGAAGCAAACCGGGACGAGATCTGGGAGAAAGTCCCAGGGAATCGTCAGGTGACCCTGCTCGTGTTCCGTGAGGGGGACCAGCTCAACTTCTTTCGTGTGGTAGACCGAGGTGACGGGACCCTTACTCCGCTGTCCGAGTCCTTGAGGTAGGTACAAGCTAAAAAGCAAAGCAAATCTTTTGGCATAACATTACTAAATCTTTGCGCCATATTAACCTCAGGCTTAGTAACAAGGCTGCACGCCATTTTGAAGAGTTTCTCAATTCTACAGTTTTCTGCTATATACACAAAAACAACTATATGTTCTACCTTGACTACTTCTGCAGCTGAAACAGAAAATCTGAGGCTCTTAATGCAGTAAATACAAAATTCCATTCTGATTGGTTAATATAAAACATCACATGAATATTTAAAAAAAAATCTCAATACTGCAGAAAAGATATAAAATTTAATCACAGCGATAATTTCAAAATATCATCAGGAATAATGTAATAAATTGATATTTTGCCTGTTTTTGAGTCCCAACTATAGACTATAACAGTGATAGTACAAGCCTTTTTCAGAGGTTGGGTCCTAAGATAGTCGGTTACACATGTAGGAATATGTCAAATTACAGTCTGCTGCAAACATTTTGCTTATTTTGAGACAAAAAATAGGGTAATCTCTACAACTCGCAGACAGCATCAGGTTATAATGAAATACCCTTCAATTTCTCTCACTTCTTCAGCATATAGACGGTGTAGATAAGTTCAGCAAACGTCGGTAGTTGCATGCATGGTGAGAGGTGTCTGAAGGTCAAGTACCAGCTGTATACTAGATCCTCTTATATATAATACGTTTATTATGTTGGCTGTATTTATTGTGTGTCCAGGTGTGACCTGGAACTAGTCTTAATCACAAGTCATAGCAATTGTTTTAACATATCCTTACTGCCCCATATTTACTATTTATCATAATCAAAATTGAGTTAAGTCATAGGTGCATGTACAATAATATAAGATTTTTCTCCTTTACACTTATTGAAAAATTCAAGTCATTTAGCAATATATTCATCAAAGTTTGTTATTAAAACAAGAAATATTGTAAAATAAGATAGCTGGCAAAGCTGAAAATAAAAAGTATATCCAGTAAATTGCACATTCAACATGCTCCAGGTGAAATCTTGTTATTACCAGGGTATCCGCTACTGAACATACAATATATGTTTCTGGCCGGGTGGTGCAGTGGATAGCACACTTGTCTTTCACCAAGGCGGCTGGGGTTCGTTCCCGACTATGTGGGTTTTCTCCGGGTACTCCGGTTTCCTCCCACATTAAGACCCCCACACGCTAACATCCGGGCTAACAAAAGCGATTAATATAAGTTGAAATAGCTTGTTTCATAATTGTTGTAAAATAAATAAAGTTTATATTTGTATATATATATATGTTTCTTGAAATATAATTTATGTAGAATTCTAAGTGAATCAGTTTGTTTGGTATAAAGATATTTACATTTACATTGTGTACGTCGTAGTTACCAATAATGGCATGACACGACGGGAAATTTCAAAAAAGCTCACCAAAATGGGATATCAGTTTGTTTTGTATAAAGATATCAGTTTGTTTGAAATAAACTTTTATAGGTTTAGGTTAACACATTGCGCAGATGTGGTTTAATTGTTCTGTTCGGTAAGCTCTACAAAATAAATGTAAAATGGTACCAATTTCAGTCTATCAATTACAAGTCGGAGAATACAAAAACCAAATCATGTAGCTTAACTTTTAGCTCACCTGGTCTGAAGGACTGGTGATCTTATGCAATGGTGCAGCGTCCGTTGTCAATCCGTCTGTCAACTTTTTCTTTAAAACACTACTAGCCCTGAACAGCCAAGAAGATTTTGACTAAATTTGGCCTGGAGCACCCTTAGGCCAAGGGCATTTAATTGTATAAACCGTGGGTGTGGCCATCTGGGGGGCAGAGGGGCAGGGCCCAAAAGGAGAAATAGAGGTAAAACCTTTGAAATTCTTCTCCTACCATAGGAGTAAAGGGATTTTATCCTAATTTGGTCAAGAGCATCCTTTGGCCAAGATTGCATAAACGGTGTACATGTGGCCCCTTCGAGTGCAGGGGGGTGGGGGCGGGGGGCTCAAAAGGGGAATTTGAGGTTTAAATCTTAAAATTGCATCTCCTTCTGTACCATTGGAGGGATTTTATCCAAATTTGGCCTGGAGCCTCCTTCTACAGAGAGGACATTATTTTGTATAAAAGTTGGGTATGGCCCCTCTGCACTGTGGCCTCTCTAGATGCAGAGGGGCGGGGCTCAAAAGGGGAATTTGATGTTAAAATCGTTAGAATCCTTCTCCTTCTGTACTATTGCAGAGGTTTTATCCACATTTGACCTGGAGCATCCTTGGGCAAAAGTGATTAAGTTTTGTATAATCTGAGGATGCGGCCCCTCTGGGTGCAGAGTTGAGGGGCCCAATAGGGGAACTCGAGGTATAAGTCTTCAAAATCCTTCTTCCTCTGTACCATATGAGAGATTTCATCCACATTTGGCCTGGAGCATCCTTGCATTGGGCAAAGGGGACTGAATATTGTATACACAGAGATTTTATGTAATATTATCCAGGTGAGCGATACAGGCCCTCTGGGCCTATTGTTTTATATCTATATAGATAATTTGGCCGTGATAGTGAATTCATACTGACAGTTGTCAATTGTGTGTCACAGTGGTGCTTCAATGTACAACTTCAATGACGAGGAGGAAGAAGATGACGTCCCTCCAAAGGAGAAACTTGAGGAGAATGAACAACTCAAGGAAAAGATGAAGCAGCTGCGTGGCAAGATGGAAAAACTCACTCTTACAAAAAAGGTACAAAGCTGACAGAATGATAAAACTCACTCTTACAAAAAAGATACAAAAGCTGACGGAATGATAAAACTTACTCTTACAAAAAAGGTACAAAGCTGACGGAATGATAAAACTCACTCTTACAAAAAAGGTACAAAGCTGACAGAATGATAAAACTCACTCTTACAAAAAAGGTACAAAGCTGACGGAATGATAAAACTTACTCTTACAAAAAAGGTACAAAAGCTGACGGAATGATAAAACTTACTCTTACAAAACAGGTACAAAAGCTGACAGAATGATAAAACTTACTCTTACAAAAAAGGTACCAAGCTGACAGAATAATAAAACTCACTCTTACAAAAAAGGTACAAAGCTCACCCCCTATGTAACTTTAATAAACTCTTCCATGCATCGATCTGGATGAGTCTACAGTGTTAAAAGGGTTAAGCTATTTATACAGGAACAAAAAATAATTTTGAACAAAACTTTCCGTGGTAAGAAATATTACCAGTTATGAGCCTGTGTTTAAGTAAGGGTAGTAGGCCAAGGCAAGAATCAATAGTTTTGAATACTGAAAATAATAAACAGTAACCCCACGGAATTGGATGTATCGATGTCCTTGCACATGGTATGGCTAACATTAGGCTGCTTAACCTATTTTATGTAAATCCCTGGGGGCTTGCTTATCACGCACTGTTAATCCAAAGTTTCTGACAGATACTGATATCATCATGGTAAAATAAACACTGTCATTTCCCTGGTGTAACCATCAGTATTCAAGGGTTGGACGAGGCCTGTACCAAAAGGAGAGCAAATTCAATACAAACCATGCAGTCTTTCTATTTTGTGTGGATTCAATTTTCCTCCCAAGATAATATTACCATTGTCACAGCTGGCTATGTGCATAAATTTCTTCCTTGGGTATAGCAAACATAAGTCTGATTTTTGTCGTTGAAGTTTCGTTAAATGAGTCTCACTGTATGTATCGCTTAAAAAAATCACCAAATACATCAAATCGTTCTGATGTTTTATCGACTTTTTTCATACTGGTCTGTCGTCGATTAACGTCAGAACTCCGGCCCTCTGTAACATAACAAAAAAAGTCTATAAAACGTCAGAAAAATTCGAACTACAAATTGACTTGAGGCTGTAGGAAATTATCTGGGATTTTTCAAGGGGTTTCACATTACCAATTTATCATGCCAGGTGATTAACTACACTTTTCATTTCAAACCTTGTTTTATCCAAACAAAATTATTCTGTTTTTCACAGCCAAGAAAGAAACCCCATCCTCCAACATCTGGCCACTCGACTGGAAGGGCAGCCACGCGATATCGACAGCTTCCAAGTTCTGGAAGGAACCTCCCAGTTGGTCACCACCTCAACCGAAAGTCGTGCCTTCCCCCAGTGGGGCACACGCTGGCCTCACCCTTTTCTCCAGAGGAGCGCCTCAGTCTCGCCTCAATAGGAGGCAAGGATAGTTTTGCCTCCATCAAGTCGTCTGATAATGATATATCCACCATAGACATCAACAGCACCAACTCCAAGTCACCTCATAGCATGAGACATTTAGACAGTGCAGAAGGTGGAACCAAGCTAAGCCGGACTTTAGAAAGTGTTAAAGAGGACATTGGTACTAGTAGTGAACATAACACCGCTAGGAAAACTAAAATTGACTCGCTGGAGGCAGCTAAGTGCGATGAGAAAGACCGATCACTTTCTTCTCCTCCAAAGGAAAGTAGTCCAAAACTCTCAGATCTAGCAGCCTCTAGTTCCATATCACATGAAAGTCAAAAGAGTGATTACTTAGGGGCGGAGACCAAGGACCTTCAGCGCCTCGGTCATGTGGGAAATGCACAAGAATGTAGCTCTAGACCGATCACAAGTAGCAAAATGAAGGACCTTGCAATGGAAAGTTTCAAAGATAGTCTCAGGCCACCCACATCCTCTAAGAACAAGCAGAAACTTAAAGGAGGTGATCTCACCATAGAAAGTCTGAAGGAAGTGTTAGGTAGACCAACAACATCATCAAGGGACTTAACTCTTGAGAGTTTACAAGAGACATTCGGTCGACCAACTACATCGTCACGGTACAAGGGATTGGAGAGACGGAAAGAAATAACGCTAGAAAGTTTAAGTACGAGTGAGGCACGTGCCATGTCTGGACTTTTAAGACAAGCCTCACTAGAAAAAATTGGCTCATCACGAATAGGAAATATTGGTAACTTTGTGCCCAGTGGTAGTAAGTCTCGTCTGTCTAATTACACATTTGGTAGTCCAGCCTTACCCGACGGAAGAATCACCACCCCTGAGGGGCGGCTAGTGGTAGGTTTACTCAGTGTTTGTCTGGTAACTTTGTTCCAGACGTAGAATGGTGTGACTTTCAGTCCTATGCAGGAATCTAAATAGCACAAATATTACTTAATTTTAATTTTATGAACTTTAATTAGAAAGCATATGTCATGAACTGGCAATGCTATGTTCAGATTTTAGAATTCCACAAAATATATTGTGTTTTCATAATTTAAATATGGATTAACTTCTGATAACTCCTGACAAAGTTTGAAGTAATAACTTGAGTTGTACATGCTGACTAGCTGATTATATAAACTACATGTTGTGTATACATCCTGGCTAGCTGATTATATAAACTACATGTAGTGTATACATGCTGGCTAGGTTATATAAGTATACATGCTGGCTAGGTTATATAAACTACATGTAGTGTATACATACTGGCAAGCTGATTATATAAACTACATGTAGTGTAAACATGCTGGCTAGGTTATATTAGTATACATGCTGGCTAGGTTATATAAACTACATGTAGTGTATACATGCTGTCTAGGTTATATATAAACTACATGACGTGTATACATGCTGGCCAGGTTATTAGCTTACCTGCCCGAAGGGCAAGTGAGCTTATGTTATGGTGCGGCATCCGTCGTCCGTCCGTCGTCCGTCTGTCCGGCGTCAACTTTTTTGCTTAAAACAAATTCTTCTCAATAACCAAAAGGCCTAGGAAGATGATATTTGGCCTGTAGCATGCTGGGGTGAAGGACTACCAACTTTGTTCAAATAAATGTCCTTGACCCACTTTCAAGGTCACAAGGGGTTAAATATGTTAAAATCTTCAAACAACTTCTTCTCAATAACCAAATGGCTCAGTGTACTGATATTGGGCCTGTAGCATACTGGGATGAAGGGCTACCAAGTTTGTTCAAATAAATGACCTTGACCCACTTTCAAGGTCACTGGGGTCAGATGTCTTAAATCTTAAAACAACTTCATCTCAATTACCAAATGGCCCAGGGTACTGATATTGGGCCTGTAGCATGCTGGGATGAAGGACTATCAAGTTTGTTCAACTGAATGACCTTGACCGACTTTCAAGGTCACAGGGTCAAATGTAGTAAAATCTTTTAACAACTTCTTCTCAATAACCAAAAGGGCCAGGGTACTGAATAAGGCCTGTAGCATGCTGGGATGAAGGACTACCATGTAAGTTCAAATGAATGACCTTGATCCACTTTCAACCTAATGTCCTTGTTCAACAATCAAGGTCAGAGGCGTCATATGTTTAAATCTTTTAATAGGTTCTTATGAAATCTTAAGATTACAAGTGTTAGATTAATAACAGGTGAGCGATGCAGGCCCATTGGGCCTCTTGTATATAAACTACATGTAGCATATACATGCTGGCTAGGTTATATAAACTACATGTAGTGTATACATGCTGGCTAGGTATATAAACTACATGTAGTGTATACATGCTGGCTAGGTTATATAAACTACATATGGTGTAGACATGTTATATGAACTCCGTCGGTGATCCCGGCATGCCAGGTGGTGCTGTCATCGGGGACAGTCTTTGTGCCGGGCCTGTTCTTTCGGGTTCAGGTCCTGGTGTGACTACAGACTTTTTTTCAGGATTGTCTGTGTCTAACGGGATTAGTGACGGGCAGCTCATGATCACCTCACCAAGGGACCAATGCTGGTCAGGCTTTCCCTCCTGGTCAGTTACCGGGACCCGGTCCTTTAAGGTCCAGCCCGGAGTTTCATTCGGCTGGCAACCTGAAGGGGTCTCCGCCCAGGTGTTGGGTTTGCTAGACGGGGGGGGGCCTCTGTTTTCCCCAGGCTAAGGGTATACAGGTGCCTGCGGGCAATAAACCCTGGGCCAACCTAACCAGCCTGTGGATGGTTTTAAGTTGCGGCATGTCCGGGTTTCCACCTGTAGGGAGTGGCAGTCCACCTTCGCCTTTTGGGCATGGTGGCCAGTCCCAGTCTCAGGCAGGCCAGTTTGACCAGTTCTAGGTTCACTTCCATCCCGCGTGACCTTTCCCTTATCCTCCGGGATATGGGTTTAACCCCTTGGCTTTTCCTGCGTGGACTTATCCATGCATATGCATTCCCGCCTTCAACCTGGTGGGCAGGGTGCTGCAGAAGTTTCGGGAGCATCAGTGTTCCCTCCTCCTGATAGCGCCCCTATGGCCAAGAGGCAGCCTTGGTTTCCAGAGCTTTTGTCGCTTCTGTAGGAAGAGCCACTGGCTCCCGCTCTCAGAGTGAACCTCCTTCACCAGCCTCGGTCCAGGACGATGCACTCTTGTCCGTAGATCCTCCACCTTCAGCAATAGAAGCTATCTCAGGAGGCCTCGCTCAGACGGGCTTTTCTAGGGAAGTGTCTGACCGCATCGTTCGATCGATTAGGTCTTCCTCATTTGCTGTCTAGCAGTCACGATTGATGATTTACTTTGATTGGTGTGTCGTCAAGAAGGTTGATCCGATCAAGGCTACTGTCCAGGTGATCGGAACTTCCTTCTTTGGCTGTTTAGGGACCGCAATCTTGCCCCTTGCACTCGATGGTTATCATACAGTTCATGGTAGGCTGAAGGTAGGCTCGTTCTCCTCTCTTTCTGCCTTGATTAGCTAGAGTGATTGGATAGGACAGGCCTAAGGTCCGGCAGCTGGCTCCGCAGTGGATTTGCCACTGGTGCTTGAATCGCTGATGCGGGATTTGTCACTGGTGCTTGAATCGCTGATGCGGGCACCTGGTTCCTGGCTTCACGCCCGATCCCATTCAGATTCCGTCTTTGACTGCCTTTATTGGGTCTGAGGAGTGGGAAATGTAGCTCTGGTCCTGTGGGGCGCTTAGGTTTTACCTCGATAAAATCAGGGGGGGCGGGGTCTTCGATCTCGTTTGTTTTTGCCCATTAAGCAGAGTCAGCAGGATATCTCCTCCCAGTCAGTGTCTAGGTGTACATGTGTATCTGTCGGGTCATCAAGTATGGTAACTCAGATTTCTGGTGTGGACTGACAACTTTCACAGATTTTTATCTCCGGTCCTTGGCTTCTCATTCCGATGGATTGTGTTCCCATGGACTGGTGGTGGTTACAGACTGCCTCCACAGTAATTCAGTGATTTTAACTAGTATGCTATCAGGCACCTCGGTGGTACACCTGCTAATTGCACGGGGAGGTATTCCATTTCTTAACTACTTTTGGGGCGTTTTTTGGGGGTTTCCTTGAACCTTTTCCCTACCTTGAGCATGTCTCGAGTTTGCTCCGTCAGCCTGGTCTGACTGGATTCGAAACTCCCACTAAGGTAAGACGAATTTGCATACTAAAGTTATGGTAATACAATAATTACTGAAATGAAATTGAAGTTTTTGAAGTAAAACCAATTTTCATGATGTAATACCTACCATAACTTTATGGAGTCCCACGCTGTATTCCTCCCCTTGCCTCCTCATCCTTGCTGCCTTTAGGCTCCATAAAAGGGGTTTGAGGATGAAAAATCACGCCGTCGTTCTGTCGTCAAGATATTGGTAAGGTGACGGTAGGGAGGTCTGGATATTTGAATCTTGTTTTTGGGCTACAAAGATGGGTGTAGGTATTGTTTATGCATACTAAAGTTATGGTAAGTATAACATCATGAAAATTGGTCTTACTTCAAAAACCTCAATTTCAAGGACAAAGATGACACTTCTCTACGGCCAATCGTGAGGTGTGGAAGTATATTTTCCCTCTTACTTTTATATTTTCATTAATATTGGTAAAATCCAGATTCAATCCCTAGATAAACTGATCATGCAATTGATTGGTTTACTACTTCCAATTACAAACCGAAATATCGATCCTGATTTTAAACCAATTGTCCATTCCTATCATCAGCGTTGGTTCTTGTCCTATATCCTATCTCAGGGTAATACAGACAGTTGGTAAGATTCCAGGAGAGGGTCACCTCAGGACACGATCATGAGATTGCAGAAAAAATGTATTGTATATAGAGCCATTGGATAGATCAGATTACAGAATATTATACTGTATTCGTGAAGTTATTAAGACAATTCTATTGTTTCCTAAATCGTAAAATTTAGGGGGTCGGTCAACACAAGTTTAAATGAAAATTAACAAATTAATCAACTTGAATATTAAGTTCCGTGTTTTGTAAATACATATAAATAAATAGTTTTTTTTATTAGAGTTGAAGCTGGCCATTAAGAATGTAATATTAATGATTTAGGTTGGCCAATGCATGCTTGAACCCACAGCAAGGTCCTTTTATGCTATAACTATATGATGAAGAACTGTTATATGTATTTTGGAATTTAATGGATTGGTATATTTGTACTGGCATTAAAATTCCAAGGCTCGCCAAAAAATAATATCAGACCACTGTGTCTGATGATTGTCCATCCTATAGTTAAATAAATGAACTAGTCTGTTTCAACAGTCAAACTATTTAGAATGTGATAAAAGAAAAGTGGATAAAGGCTTTAGTAAAAAGTAAATACAATCAGAAGATTTCTTGTATGTAGCTGATGTTCCATCCTTCTTATTTATGAAACAGTATTTGGACAGGGACTCATTCTCTGAACACCTTAACCAAAAATATAGAGTGAAAACAGACCATAGTATACGTCATTCTGGTTGTGCCTAACTTTGACATCATGACTTTTTCAAAAGATATCCCCAGCAAGAACTTTTTAAAATGACTTTTACAAATTGAAACACATTTGAAAGATGCATGAGAATAAATACATGAATGATGCAGTAATAATCTAAATTTTTAGGAAATTTTGGGGGGGGGGGGGGGGGGGAAAAA